AGAGTCATAGGGAACTAGCTTAACAGTCTTCTCGCCCTGGGACTTATCCAGACCAGTGTTCTCAATTTCAGAAGGGTTGGGCAGGTAATCGCAAACAGCGTCGAGCATAGGCTGAACGCCCTTGTCGGCAAGAGCAGAACCCATCATGACAGGAGTGAAAGTTCGGGCGATCGTAGCACGTCGGATAGCGGCCTTGATCTGAAGGTTGGTAGGTTCCTGCTCCTCAAGATACAGTTCGGCAATTTCGTCGTCGACATCAGCAAGCTTTTCAATCAGAGCCTGGCGCTTCTCTTTGGCGAATTCCTGGAGAGGGCCGGGAATCTGATCGGTAACGCGAACCTTGGTACCACGAGGACCCTCGAAGTACATAGCCTGCATGTTGATGAGATCGACAACGCCCAAGAACTCGTCCTCGGCACCAATAGGAATCTGAATAGCGGCGGCAGGAATCTTGAGCTTCGTGTTGATCTGTTCGACTGCCTTCCAGGGGTTGGCACCCATGCGATCCATCTTGTTGACGAAAGAGATTCGGGGGACATTGTAACGTTTCATTTGACGGTCGACGGTGATGGTCTGAGACTGGACGCCGGAAACAGCGCACAAAATCATGACGGCGCCGTCAAGCACTCTCAGGGCTCGCTCGACTTCGATGGTGAAATCAATGTGACCAGGTGTATCAATCAGGTTGAAGTGGTAGGTTTCCTCTTTGCCGTTTTCCGTTTTCTTCCAGTCGGCGAAAGTAGCCGCAGACTGAATAGTGATGCCTTTTTCCCTTTCGAGCTCCATGGAGTCCATCTTGGCGCCAACGGAATCCTTTCCTCGAACCTCATGGATCGAATTGATTCGGCCGGTGTAGAACAGGACTCGTTCACTGACTGTTGTCTTTCCACTGTCGATATGGGCCTGTTTAGTTCTTGTTAGCAGAAGGGGGTGAAATGGTGACGGCCATTGATCATACAGCGATACCGATGTTGCGCACACGAGACAGGCGCTTGGCCTCCTCAGTGGACATGTTGGCGGCGACATACTCGGGTGTTAAACTGGCAGCATCTTCCTGAGCTTTCTTGAGACTACTATGATCTTAACATTGTGTTCAGCAAGCAAAGGGGAGGGGCAATCGAGAACTCACGCTTCTTGCGCCGCACCGCAGCTACGCTTGGTCTGACTGAAGGCTCGTCGACTCTCCCACGCGGGAGCGGCAGTTGATATAGTAAAAGAATGGCTACCAAAGCTTGGCTGCTGGTTGCCGAGGATCAGACGGCAATTGAGCCATCTGGCAGCCCAGGTTGCCCTCATCTTGCAATCTTGGACTTCAGCAAAGAAGTTGAGGGGAGGGTTGCCAATGATCAACGCTCTATTGGAAACTTTTTTCTTTGGTGTCGGGATTAGCAGGATGGAGGTGTAGCGCCACATGTGTGCGTAGTTCTGATTCGCTCAGCGCTTAATTCCCGCCATTAACGGCACTGTAACTTGAGTGTGGGCGCCTCAGCCGAACGCCTCCATACCTTGACATGAAAGGAATGAGTCAACGCCTGAACCTTCTGTGAGAGAAAGTTAGCCAAGCACATGAACGCAACACATTCTTTTGTATGTTGGCAGCTCTCTAATGAGACGCATAGTCAATGCTCAACAACTCAAAATATACCCTTACATAACTACAAAACTGCCGTCAGTCTGCTGAGGTTGAGGCCTCGGGAATTTTCTCGATTTCAGATTTGGATATATGTGCATCATTAATATTTGCATTTATAGGTATTCTTTTAGGCTTTTATGCCATTCTCTTGCTGGTATCATTTGTGTAGTCTCATCACCCATTGCGCCCTTTTTGTATCCTCATTACCGACGGCTCCGTCCGACCGTTAAACGCCAAAATCAGCCCATGCCAATGCAACCCTTGTTCAACGCCAGTGTCATGAACCTGTTAGCCTCTGAAGCAAATGACTTATGCAATGCAGCCAAAACTCCGTAGACAGTGTCATCAAAAAATGCTCGAGAGAATCCCTCCGCCTGCAAGCATAAAGCTCATAGTGGTAACGACCAGCGCCAAAGGTGTTGTCCCGGGGGCAAGCAATGATCCTGCGTTGTCCTCGTCATCATTTCCATTTGAGTCCGATTCTTGAAACCCCTCAGCAGCAGTGAAGTTATGACCTGGGACTGTTGGTTTTTCGGTTGCTCTGTGCTGATTACTTGCTGCCGTTGCGGATGGGATGGTAGCCCCATAGCTCTTGAATGGGACTCGTTTGCTTTTCGTCGAATTGAAATCAGTAGCAGCAATTCCAACTTCATTATTTACCAGATCATAGACGACATAGGCGGATCGAAGAAAGGTGTTGCCAAGTAGGTACAGATCGTTGGTGTCGTTTTGTATACCAAAGGTACATATGTTCTCGCCTTTGTACGCGCCTGATTCAAAGGCTGGCATATTGGCCGCATCACTGGTCATGGTAAGAACGAGCTCATCCATCCCTACGCTGATGCTAGGACCGTCAGGGCCTGCGAATCCAAATGTGAAATTCCCTTGGTTCCTGCCGTAAGCACATGGTAGAACAGCTACCCCATAGTACGGTGACCACACGGCACCAACTTCTTCCCAGATCTCATGGGCCAGATCTTGGGGAAGGTAGCTCAAGGTGGTTCCAGAATCGAGAACGGCCTGAATAGGGAAACTATCGGAGGTAAGGACATCGCTGCCGCTGGAGCTAGTGGCGACCAGTGAGGTCAAGGCCACGATGAAGTGGTAGTAATGGCCATCTAACTTTTGAATGTCGATTCGGTGCATATCGCCGACGTACTTTGCTGTGTCAACCCCTCCGAATAGAATGCTGCCGGCTTTGGCGTCTAGGTCGTTGAGCCACACACTGTAGGCGATAGTATTGATATAACCTGCTTGGTACATCGCAACAGGAAGGTTAGGATAAATAACATCTGTGGTGCTGCCCGATGCCTCGTTCTTGGCGTAACCAACGCCAATCAAGCCATATGAAATGTTAGTCTTGATAGCCAGTCCCATGGTCAGATTGTTGATGACAGCGCCGTCCAACTCAAAGTGATCTTCAAAATAATCGCCCTTGACATAACTGTCATCTACAAAGGTGATGCCGAACATTCCAGGCGCGACATGTTTGAATGTCTTGGACTTATCGGGGTCAACTGTAAAATCGTCAGTAATGAAGCATAATACTGGACAGGGGTGCCATCTTACAGCTTCCAAGAGGGCAACCACTTTTTCCATTCTTGTCGTCTTCGCATATATCTGCACAGTTCCAGGGAACCCATACATCACTACTCCCGGTATCGAGCTGAAGGGTAATGTTCTGAGGTGGATTGCCGATCGTGACATCTGTAAAGTAGCCTCCTTCAGATCTGTCATTACTTATGACCTCTTCATATGTCGTTTTGGCGCGACGGGCCAAATGTGGTTGAGGATGGCGACCCTCGATGTTCCACTGGATGGTTTGGGCTTGCACAAGACCCAATGTCGAAACCAGCGAAGCACCCACAAGGGACGACTTCATTGCAGCCACGAGGGAGAGCCAGGCAAGAGCCAGGAAGAGATGAGTTCAGGAATGGCGTTGAACGGGGTAACGCCACCCTCCTCCATAAGGCGAATAGGCTCGGGGCCAACCAACTGAGATGCAAGAATACTGTAAAATGGCAAGTGCCTTTTGTGTGTGAATAAGTAGGTGAGAGAGTAAGAATTTGAGACGTAAGTTGAGTTGATAGGTATCAGTTTGTTTGAAGGGCGAGGTAGTGTAAAGAAGCGCTTAACAGCTAGTTGAGAAGTTAGGTTAGTTGCACTAAGACATAAGACACAGCAGGATGTCGCAAGAAACGCCAGCTAAAGAAACACAGGGTAAAAGACCCAAAGATAGGACAGCTGTGGTGGATCCTAGGACAGCTGCAATTGTGTGTATGTAAATGCAAACTGATGAAAGAGGGGAATTCTGGAGAATATAAAAAGTACAAGGGTGGAAAGGAAAACGAAGTAACGAATCAGGGTTAACAATGAGCGAAAGATTGTCGATTGACAGGAGATGATGGATGAAGTGGAAGAAACGGCACGGGGGGGCCACGCAAGCTTGGTACATAGCAAACGACGAGCACACCCGACCAGACCAGACTCGGGACTTTCCCACTTGGATCACTACGGAGTACCTAGGAGAACTATTACCAACTCGGGAACTTGCCTCTTGACTTGAGTGCGTGCGCGCTGTAGCGCCAAGATGTCTCGTTGACCCTTGCGCTAAAAAAGGGTGACTCGTCAGCGTCTTTCTGGGCTGGGATGATGAGCAGAAACAAAACATAAGACGCCATGGGCTTGTGGTAGTGGCCGTTTCTGTCTCGCGCTTTTTGTCACCCCTCAGCTGCAATTCCAAGGATCAATGGGATGATGCGCTAGGTGGGCGGGTACTAGGTAGTTAGTTGTTTGAGGCTTACGAAGCCCGGTGCTAATTGATTATTTTGTCAGTTCAAGTACGATCGGAAGCGTCGAAATTTCTACTGCCCTAACTATCTACCATGGATCGATCGTTTTGACTTTACACCTTGCTTCTTGTAGAAAGGTACGGCTATCGCGGCGTGTTGTAATCACCGACTCGAAAATTACATACTAAACATCAAAGCTCTTGGAACTCTTGGTATCTCTGGATAATACGAGATTTGCACATGCTCGCAGGCCAAGAAGAGCTGCCAAGTAATGATCATCGTCGCTATCGAATTAGAGTGCAAGCTTGGAGACTGTACCTGGCAGATCAATTAACATTCTGAAAACAAAATGGTCGATGTGTCAGTCAAAATCGTTGGATTTGACCCTTGTCTCCTGTCGTGTAGCAATCAACACTTGCATTCTCCCACTTTCCGTGTTGCCGTGCGAGTATTTGCACAACCCGTCGAACATTACCTACCAGCTGACGACGCCGCCTTGGCCAAGTTGAGTTGTAAATGCCGCTGATCCGTGCAACTCGGGGTCACTTTATCTAATGCAGTTCGATATGAACCAAATGCGAGATTCAGTGGAAGCAATTGTGTTACCTCTGGACTGCCTAACTATGGTAAGTTTGCGTCGATGTATGTACCCAATCGCTTCAACCCCTTGACTATAACATGTGTCTCACAGACATACCCCATTCTTATATATCCCTCAAAGTCCTCGTCGTTCCCAAAGCATTTCGAATCTGCCACAAACAGGTCATTGTTCTTGCTTAGCAGGTCCAAGCAGAAGTTAACATCGTTTATAGGTTGGTCATTCTTGATGAAACGAACAAATGATGTCGTCCCGGCCGTGGGCTCTGCCTAGGAATAGACTGCCTTGTCGTGTCCGATAAACCCTTTGACGAGTTTCGCATTGTGCCTCGCCAGTGTCAAGTTGCGATCAACTAAACAAGGGAGAACTGCTGGCGATAGGGCGTATTTCGCGACCTGGTCATCAATCTGGGAAACGCTGGTTGTGGTGTAGTCTCACGCTGCCATAATGGCTGAGATGATGGACTTGTCCTTGCTTGCAATCCAGCCGACCCGAATCCTAGCCAAAGCACATCCTTTAAACATGGATCCCGTCGTGATCGTTCTTTCATAACCCAAGGTCGTAGCAGACTTCAGAATGTCAATTTGACCAGAGACCCCGCCATGAAAGAGTCGGCGATAAACTTCGTCAGAGAACAGGGTGATGCTTTTCTCCTCTGCTATTTGAGCAATGCGCCCCAGTTCATTAGGGATAGTTGCACCGGCGGGATTCTTAGGATTGTTTATAATGGTCATCTAGCACAACAGTAAGTAATCATCTCTTTGGACCGCCTGAAAATCTTCACCTCTGTGTTCTTTCGGATGAGATTGATCAGCTCATCCCCGTTGGGAATGAAGCTCTCTTTCTGCTTCCATAATGAGACTTCAGCTCCAATGCTTCGTGGAACCTCACATAGCTGCTGGTATGTCGGATAAACACAAAGTAAGTGATCATTTGACCCAACGAGGCTATATAGGGCCAGGAGGTTGGCACCGATCGCGCCTTGTATAACAACAATAACTTCTGCAACAAGTCTTGTGTCTTGGTGCTGCCCTGTGCAGCTATTCTCTCTTAATGCGTTAGAACCGGGGATAGGGCCGTATGTGAGTTTGAGACTTGTATCAATGGGACCTTGTGCTTTGGGGTCTTTGCACATGTCGACCAAGTCGTCAATCGATACAGACGCAGCACACGTCTCAGCAACATTCAGTACCCCAGGAGTTGTCTCATACTCAGCCATCCACTGTTCAACAGCAAAAGGTGCAATTCGAACTATGCTAAGGAAGCCTTAGAGTTGGTCAGATTCCTTGGACTGGCCGATTTCTATTCTTGTAATAATTATTGATGGCGGTGTCGGCTTTTAAATCGTACAACTTAATTTTAACTGATTCAATGCTGACTTCAAGATCAAGCCCCACATTCACACGTCCTTCTGTCTCGAAGCGCCATTCAACGTCATAAGCGCCTTTTACTTTGTCAAGCTGGGCGATTAACTATGGATTCACTTATCTGTCAGGGAAACTAGTCATGATCACTGTCATGAGGTCTATGAATACCTCGTCGAGCCTATTATTATGAAGTGGTGGCAGTGGTACGAGTCATGATGACGAGCTGCTTGACAGCTTCCCCGCAAAGCTTGATCGAGAACGACAGGGGTAAAATCTGGGGATAGCACCGCTAAATAAAACCTCAAGGTAGCTTCCACCATATTGCGGGCATCATTCACATTTGGACACCATATCAAGTATCATTGTACATAGTTGACCTTATGAACCATGTGCAATATCTTCAGGTCCCTCAATCCAAGTTTACTAGAAGGTTTGTATGGCGAAAGCATCCGTGGGTAGCGTTCTCAGGCGGTCATTATCATAGGTCGTGGTAAGGCGTCATGAGACAATTCGATATTCGCTATGACTATTCATGTTTCAACTCAACTATTAGTGTTTGTATATTTATAGTTAGGTTAATCAAGCACTGCATGTTACATGGCCGTACCGATGTAACAGGGTCAGCATGCATGTTCCCAACTTGTCATCAATACCGTCTGAGGCGGAAGAGCAGTTTGTGACCTGGCGCAGTACTCCGATACTATATGCGCAATAACTGTTATCCGTGATACGGGATACGAATATTGATGGTTCTGCTGCGGTACCGTATACGGTCTATAAAACAGAATGAGTTGGAATAAAAAAATGTATTGTGGAAAATAAGAAGCATAGGGTAGCGAGACTTATTGAGGGAGTAGGTAAACACAAGACATGCTAAGCATTCACAAGCTGGGAAAACTTGAGAGGATAAGACCTTCGACTAAGAGTGAGCAGTAGATCACATGTCCGCGTTATTGGCTCACTGATGGTCGATGGTGAATCATGGATATTTACTAATGTATTGTCATGAACACAGTTTGAGGTCAAGACAGCCAGACTTATCATCAGCTCCGGTTAGTGACGTCAGACCTATACCTGAAACACCAATGCGTGTCAGTACATGGGATACCCTCATGATAACTGTATTCTCGTTCCATACATGCATAGAAGGCTTGTCATCAGGGATACTTGATACGTGGGCAAGACAATTCTTTCCATTGGCCGATTCCGGCTCAAGAAGTGAAGTTAGTTGTCATACGCTGTTTTCGATAACCTGATAGCTCTATCGAGTCATGAGACCCATATTTAGCGGCTATGCCAGCCACTCATAATTTACCCTACGGCCAGCTGCACGTCTCGAGTACCTGCCTAAATGGAACGCGGGGCGCCACTCTTTGGTGGAACAGCTTATCCTGGTCGCGCTCATAAGCGTCGGTTGTTCAACAAACCAGCCTCCAACATCAACATTGTTCTATCACCAGACTGCATCGTGTTTCCATCGCTGCAGTTATGGCTCCTTCTTCTCTGAGGAGCCTCCTATTGGGAGCTCTGGCTCTTTGGCCTGGTCTGGTCATGGCTTCCCAGAACTCAACTTTCTCTCAGGCCGATCAACTACGGGCACAGCTAGCTCTCATGGGTGATCGCCCGGATGGCTGTCCTCCTTGGTGCGTCAATGCGATCCCGAATCCCCACGAACTTACATTGCCCATACTGATATATCTTTAGTTTCAATTGTCTCCTTCCTGCACACACATGTGCTCAATATGCTGACTGTAACGAGTTCAACGGAAAATGCGCCTGTCCTGAGGGATTTGGCGGTGATGACTGCCTCGAGCCACGTGCGACCTCCCCCCGTTATCGTCAGCTAAACCTCGACTGACCTTGTCTATTAGTGTGCGGCTCACTTCCCAAGGGAAAGGACCGCCCAATGCGATCTGGTGCATCATGCGATTGCGACGAGGGCTGGACTGGCATCAATTGCAACGTCTGTACTGACAATAAAGCCTGCAACGCACTCATGGAAACCGGCGAAGGCGGTGTCTGTTACCAGAATGGTGAGGTTGTGAACCACAACTATCAGATCTGCGATGTCACCAACGAGAAGATCACGTCTTTGCTCGGCAAGCAGCGTCCAGAAGTCACGTTTACTTGTAAACAAGAGGATCAGACTTGCGATTTCCAATGTGTGTTCAAACCTTCATCATTCGCGCACGCTGCTAACCTTGATGCGAAGTTTGGGTAGATGCTATCGAATCGTTCTACTGCCATCTCTCCGAATGCGATTCGAGCGCCGATTGGGAGGAAGAGAAGAACACAACTTCCTACAAATGCAATAAGATCAGCTGCAGCTGTATTCCCGATCGGATGCTCTGCGGAAAAGATGGATCCATCGATCTCACAGATTTCCTTGACCAATCCATTCAAGGCCCAGGGCGATTCGAATGTACTCAGAAGCATGGCGGTACTCACGACTGTGCTTTCAGAGAACCCGAGATGGATGCCTTGATTCTAGCCCTAATTGGCGACTCCAGCATTCTTCTTAGCTGCCACGCTGGTGAATGTCTCTACGAGACAGAGGTTCCAGGATATAAGCGTCCCGTCAAGAAGATCAACACACCTCTCATTGCCGGCGTGATTGCGGGCTGCTCTCTCTTCTTGGTTGCTGTTATTATCTTGACATGGTATCTGTCAAGACGTAAGTTGAGCTACGGAGCCATTCGTTTGGAAGACTCAGATGACGAGAGTACGAAACTGATGACCGACCACAAACCCGCTTCCCTCTACTTTGACGATGTTGCGTACACTTTAAATGGTAAACAGATTCTTACTGGAATCCGTGGTATCTGCAAGCCTGGAGAGGTCACCGCCATCATGGGTGCGTCTGGAGCAGGAAAGACAACATTCCTCGATATTCTCGCACGAAAGAACAAGCGTGGACAAGTCCATGGCAACTTTTACGTCAATGGCGAGAAGGTCAACGATAATGATTACAAGAATGTTGTTGGGTTTGTTGATCAGGAGGACACCATGCTTCCTACTCTTACCGTTCATGAGACCATTCTCAACAGTGCCCTACTTCGACTTCCTCGCGACATGGGCCGTGCTGCCAAAGAACAACGTGTGGTTGAGGTTGAAAAGGAACTCGGCATTCATCACATTCGTGATTCCCTGATCGGTTCTGAGGAGGGCAAGGGGCGTGGTATCTCGGGCGGTGAGAAGCGACGTGTAGGAATTGCTTGCGAACTGGTCACCAGCCCTTCGATTCTGTTCCTCGATGAACCGACCAGTGGTCTTGATGCGTACAATGCGTACAATGTGGTCGAGTGTCTCGTCACTCTGGCGAAGACATACAAACGAACCGTCATTTTCACAATTCATCAACCTCGATCTAACATTGTGGCACTCTTTGACAGACTCGTGCTGCTAGCACAGGGACGCACCGTTTACTCTGGTCCTTTCAGTCAATGTCAAAGCTATTTCGACGAAATTGGCTACGAATGCCCCCCTGGCTTCAATATTGCTGATTATCTTGTTGACCTTACCATGCATGCTGGCAGCACTCAATCCGTTGATAACGGTACTGTCGGCCTCGATAATAACAGTGTTGGGCCAAGCAGCACCCGTGCTATCAAATCTGTGGCAAGCATATCAGGCACTACTTCGGGAGACGACGACGCCAGCTCAAGCCGACCTCAGAATCGACGTAGAGACTCGGTCAAGGTTCGCCAGGATCGCGAGCTCTTCACACGTAGAAAGACGGTTGACACTGCAGCCTCCTCAGATGCTGGAGGTGAGGACAATGGTGCCTATCGCCTTCATCAAAATCCTGTCGATTCTACTCCCGCAACCCTCCTTGACGACCCTCATGACTTGCCTCCAGCAGCAGCCACTGGCACGGATCTCGACATTATGACACGTGCATTCATTCACTCGGAAATTGCTTCATCAACACACGATGAGATCCAGCGTGCCATCCAGATTGCGCAAGATGCCAATGGCTCCAACGCAAATGGCTACACTGTTGAGGGACCCAATGTTCATGTCAGTGCTGTTGGAAAGGGCTATGCCCGAGTTGGCTACTTACGCCAGTTCATCATTCTGTCTCAGAGGACTTGGAAAAACTTGTATCGAAACCCGATGTTGATGCTTACTCATTTCGCTATCGCCATCGTGCTCGCTGTTTTTTCAGGATATCTCTTCTATGGTCTCACGGACGACATCCCCGGCTTCCAGAACCGACTTGGTCTCTTCTTCTTCCTGCTCGCTTTGTTCGGCTTCAGCACACTCACAAGCCTCAACGTATTCGCCACCGAACGTCTTCTTTTTGTTCGCGAACGTGCCAACGGTTACTATGCGCCAGCCACTTATTTTGCGGCCAAGGTACTGTTCGACATAATCCCTCTTCGAATTGTCCCCCCCATCCTCATGGGTTCCATAATCTATCCTATGACCGGCTTGGTGGCAGACTCAACGCACTTCTTCAACTTTATATTGGTGCTGGTACTCTTCAACATGGCTGCTGCGGCTGTTTGTCTCTTTATTGGAATTGTTTGCAAGGATGGCGGAGTCGCGAATTTGATTGGCAGCTTGGTCATGCTTTTCAGTCTTCTTTTCGCTGGCTTCCTCCTGAACCACGATGCCACTCCTAAGGGTGCTCTTTGGCTCCAGACGCTGTCAATCTTCCACTACGGCTTCGAGTCGCTTATTGTCAATGAGGTTCTTCAACTTACACTCGTCGACAGCAAGTACGGACTTGATATTACCGTGCCTGGTGCGGCCATCCTCAGCTCCTTTGGATTCAACAATAATGCCATGTGGCCTGACATCAGGAATTTGGGCATTTTTGCTGCCGTCTTTATCATATTGTCTTACGCGGCTATGCATTTCTTGCTCGTCGAAAGGCGATAAATCAGCATAGAGGAATTGGCCATTGTCTAGGGTCTCAGAGTTAAAGGAACGATGCAACTGTCATTGCTTGCGGTGATAATATACATAGGATGTCAGGCATACTGGGCGTTTGGTTGGATGGGGGCACGTTCTCGTTCTGTCATGGGTTATTGTATCAAGTCTCACAATATACGTAGAATCGCATTCTAAAGAACATTTTGAACGCACACATGAGTCCATGGTAGGCCGCTTGAAGACGTGATATTTGTCATAGTTACAGTAATACATGAGTACAAGTTATTTTTACAAGCCAACAGGCATGATCTATTCCATCTTTCCACCGGTGAACTCCTCGGCAATTCTCTTCTGTCGCTTGACGGAGCGGTCGTACTCGGTTTCGTAGAAGTCCATAATCTTGGTGGATACTCCTGTTGTTGTTTCCAACATGTTGCCAATCGATGTTGGCTTGCCCCAGACGTCCCATGTGTTCTGGGCTGAACCATATCGGCCGATGTCGAAGCCTTGCTTGTGGAAGAAGTCTTCGGCAAATATGGTATCGATCTCTTCCTTGAGCTCACTCTCATTGACAATGAAGTTGGAGGCATTGATGTAGAGCTCCATCAACGCATCGCGGCGAGCCTCGCGCTTAGCTTCCTCAATGGCCTTGACCTTGACGCGGCTCTCTTTGGCACGAGCGAAGCGTTTAGAGTCAGGGTAAGTCTTGGTGTCCAAGACTGCCTTCAGCACTGTGCTACGGGTGAGGCGATCATCCTCTCGTTCTGGGGCTTTAACAGCCCGGTGGTTCTCGAGAAACTTGTGGCTCACACGCTCGTTCTGAACAGCATCACGTCGGTTCCTTCGTACCCAAAGTTCCTTCAAACCAGTTTCCAGGTTCTGCCGACGGGAGTTGGCCATTGTTTGCTTCCATTCTTGTGTCTCGTTCATGGGTTTTTGCTTGTGGGCCGGCTTAGGAACGGTTTGCTTGATGTAATCGGCTCGAATCTTGCGGTCACCCTCCATACGAGGGAAGATCTCTCGAGGTACGGGGAGGTGACCTCTGACCCGGGGAAGCTTCTTCTCTTCGGACTGTGGTGGTGTAGGCAAGCGGATATATGAGGGGGACTCGGGAGGGACTTGTTCGAGAGCATGAGCCGACGTGGAAAAGGCTCTTGAGGCCACGAGGAACTGACGAGCAGTCGCCCTCGGGCATGAAGCTGTGAGGCTAAAAGACATTTTTTAGCAGAGCCTCGGCCAGGTTGAGCACTGAGGAGCTCGAGTTGGATCGCAATTGACGCCGTAACCCGTCGTCAAATCGGCTTCTGTAGAATCAATCGCCAGCCTGAGAAAATCGACGTCGGATCAAATTTGCGGATTATTTGGTTCCGCGTGCGAGACCCCTGGCATTTTGCGCCCCGCCACCAACCACCGCAGGAAGTTAGTGGGGCTCTTATCCTACTAAGAAAAAAAAAGTTCTAAAGGAATAAATTTCTGGATTGTTCAATCTCTTCCTCTCTCTTCGTCTTTCTTTGTCGCCAGTATCCTCGACCAACTTCCGCCAATTTTTTCGCCATGGGTACTGGAAAGAAGGAGGCCACCCGGCGTGAGCGCCAGGGTAAAGGTGGTGATGGTCTCAACAATGTCAGAACTAAGGGAGAGAACTTCTATCGCGATGCGAAGAAGGTCAAGCACCTTAACATGTACAAGGAGGGCAAGGCGCAGAGAAACGCCGAGGGAAAGATTGTCAAAGCTGCGTCCTTTCAGTCGCGCGACGTTCCTAACGCCCGCATCGAGCCGAACCGCAAGTGGTTTACCAACACCCGAGTCGTCTCCCAAGATACCCTCAACGCCTTTCGTGAGGCCATGGATGAGAAGGCCCGCGACCCCTACCAAGTTCTTCTCAAGTCAAACAAGCTGCCCATGAGCCTTATCAGAGATGGAAAGGACACCGAGAACGGTATCAAGCAGCACAAGGCCAAGATGACCGTCGAGACCTCCCCCTTCGCTGAGGTCTTCGGTCCCAAGGCGCAACGCAAGCGAGTTAAGCTTGGTGTTAGCAGCCTGGATGACCTTGCTGGTGACACCGAGAAGAGCATGGATACCTATCGGGAGAGGCTGGAACAACAGAAGCTTCTCAGCGGCACATCTGGTGACCCAGAGACTCTTGGAGACACTGATAAGCCTCTTACTATGTCGATTGAGCCTGTTTTCGATAAGGGTCAGAGCAAACGAATCTGGAACGAGCTTTACAAGGTCATCGATTCTTCAGATGTGGTTATCCACGTTCTCGATGCACGAGACCCCGTTGGAACAAGATGCCTCAGCGTCGAGAAGTATCTCAAGGAAGAAGCCCCTCACAAGCACTTGATCTTTGTGCTGAACAAGTGTGATCTGGTCCCTACCAGTGTAGCAGTAAGTCTTTTCTATCTCCATATCTTCATCTCCCTCCTATACCCCAATGTTCTTTGTCAGGATTTGTCCCTTTATGTACCATGGGACCTGTCTGTTATAACATTGGGAGAATAAACGCCAGTCTCGACTGTCGTCAACGTCTTGTTGTTCGGCTGATGTGTGCCGTTTTGGTTACCATCATGAGTCAGGCCAAGTGTCCGATTGAGTTGAAGTCTGCCTATGCCATTAACCAATTGCGGGGCATCGATTGCATACTTCTTAGTGATGACACAAACATCTTGCCCCCCCTGCAATTAATGTTCTTTATCGTTATAACTTTGTTCGAATACTAATTCGATGCAGGCTGGATGGGTTCGTAGTCTCTCTAAGGAGTACCCTACTCTTGCTTTCCACGCTAGCATTACGAACTCTTTCGGAAAGGGTTCTCTCATTCAGTTACTTCGACAATTCTCCTCCCTCCATTCTGATCGAAAACAAATCTCTGTTGGACTGATTGGTGGACCCAACACTGGAAAGTCCTCCATCATCAACACTCTCCTCAAGAAGAAGGTCTGCACTGTCGCTCCTATCCCAGGAGAGACTAAGGTCTGGCAATATGTCAGCCTGATGAAGCGGATTTACCTAATAGACTGCCCTGGAATTGTTCCTCCGTCAAGCACTGATTCACCTACCGACTTGGTCCTCCGAGGTGTCGTGCGTGTGGAGAAGGTTGAGCACCCTGAACAGTATATCCAGCCTCTGCTGAACCGGGTCAAGCAGCACCACATGGAGAAGACATACGAGCTTAAGGGATGGACAAACTCTACAGAGTTTCTTGAGCTCCTGGCCCGCAAGGCTGGACGACTTCTCCGTGGAGGTGAGCCTGACTTGGATGGTGTAGCAAAAATGATTCTCAATGATTTCATGCGAGGCAAGATTCCATGGTTCACACCTGCGCCAAAAACTGAGGGTGAAGCGGACGGCAAGGTTGGCAACCGTGAAGGTAGACTTGGAGAGATGCCTCGAAAGCGAAAGCAGGAAGAGACCGTTGAAGATGAAGATGCTTCTGCCGAAGCCCAACTTCAACGAGAGGCTGAAGCCGCGGAGAAGGCTGAGCAGGAGAGCCCTGATGGTTCTGATGAAGAATCAGAGTTTGAAGGCTTTGGCAGTGACACCGAGGAAGCACGATCAAGAAAGCCCTCGTTTGGTGCTACTGTGGATGGTGAAGATAGTGATGGTGATAGCGCCGACGATGATGTGATATCTATTGATGGCTCTGAACCAGAGGATGAAAAACAGGAGGAAGAGGCACCTGCAGCTAAGCAGAGTAAAGGAAAGAGGACAAAAGGCGGTCCTCCAAACAAGAAAAGGAGGACATGATCGCCCTGGAGTCGATCCAATTATCATGGTCTTTATCTTCTTTCGAGGTACTTGCTTGCGCATCCTCAACTAAACTCTTAATGATACCCACGTTAATACTTGCACACCTTGAGTTTCGGTCTCGCACTGATATAGCATCTTTCTCAACTGACACAAGCAGAATGGCTGTTGCCTTTATCTCTAATGCCGCTGAGCCATGCCTCGGCAGCTCTTACTATAAGTCTTCTAATACGTGCCACTTGTTCAAAAACTGAGCTAAGGCATAGTAGTTGGCAAACTAACAATTGACAAGATACAAATCAAGATGAGGCAAAGAAAAGACCAAGAAGGCAAAAATATTGCCTCCACACAGGATTGAACTATGGACCTTTGCATTACAAGTGCAACGCTCTACCACTGAGCTATAAAGGCGTCTTGCTAAAAGGAAGTCAAGAATGAGGATACAAGACGCCCATGCAGGGAGAGGTTATAATTTTGGCAAAAGGATCAAAAGTACTGCCCCCGCACAGGATTGAACTATGGACCTTTGCATTACAAGTGCAACGCTCTACCACTGAGCTACAAGGGCAATTACTAATCAGCGCGCTCAAAAAACTATATATATAGAGACAGCATGTTTTAGAATACCTTCCCATCCTCGCTGTCTCTTACAACAACTACAATAATCTCACTGACGGGGATGTCGTATCACTACACTTTATAGGTTGGGAGATGAAATACAAGCAGTCTCTCGAAGAAGCGTGATGTGCCAGCCGCTTCAAGATGATGAATATCTACGTAGATCTTGTTGATCTTGTGCTATCTTGTAAACGGAGTAACAAATACATGAAACTAATTGATGATATTAAAAACCTCTCTTATGTACTATCTTTTGGTCCTGAATAAAGTTTAATAGACATGCTGTATATATGTACCTGTCGCCCAATCTATCCCCGAGACTCCAAACATCTCCTGCTAAGTGGTGTAAGGCAATTTCACTCCTTAAGGAACAGAAGCAAGGCAATGATGAACATTGGAACAATGTTCTTATTCGCTTAAACCCGACATTGAGGGTTGTTTAAGTTGAAATTGACATCCTGAGACATAATATAGCATAACATAATGCTGGTAAGCCTGGGTATGCGAAACTAGCCAAGGCAATTTACTGGTATATATGTATTCGACCAACCTCACTCGACCTATACGTGTTCCCTTCGCTATCGCATCTTCTGGCCGAGTGTGTCTCCAAGTACAATCCATGCATCCTCGACGTCTTGCGGTATATCAACATGGACGATGGAGCCTTTGCCCCGTGGTCCGTATCCGTTCTCATTATCTGTCATTCGTGGAATTTCGCCAACAAGTAGAGACATCAGTCGTTCCATACTCCAAAGACCATCATTCTGGTTCTTGTCAAAGTCAGCAATGTCATACCGCAAGTAAGAAGTGAGGCCGCTCGCTTGGTTCTGAGCCCCGGAGTCTTGAACCGCCACCCTAGGCACGAAGGTTGGCCAGCTGGCAAACACAGGAGTATCATCTATCTTATCAGAGTAAACTTGCTCAAAGGCAGCAACCGTACGTCGACACATGGTGGGGTCTTGAGCGACGACAATAGAGCATGGTGATGTGTATCCATGCTGGTCTAATATTTTTCGTGTGTACACTGCATTTAGTGCACAATTTGTTGAGGCATCCTCGATCAAAATGCTGAGCCTTTGTGTTGGGTGCTTCCCTGTGGTTACGAGGTTGTCCTGTTCAACTTCAAGGTGGAAGAATTGCTCGACAAGGGTCTGGAAGACCCGAGCCTCTGGCTGTCCCTGAACTTGGCCAGTAATCCTGTTGTACTTGGGATGTCGAGCTACAGCATCATATAGCAGTTGGGTCGAATGTCCGATACCACCGGTTATGACCAGAACAACCGCTTCATCTGATCGGGCAGAATTAGTCTTTTGTTTAATCGATTATGTTTATTATCTCTGTCCCCGCCATGAAAACCTACCCATTGCCTCTACCAATTTCGTCACCGATGATACGACAGTATCTATAATGGACAAAATTGCAGAGCCGCACAAAACAACTACCGCCGCAGAACTTGAGCTTGTCTTGAAATTCAGCTGCTTCTTGGTCGCCGAAGAGCCGAAGAGGGCGCGTTGCAGATCTGACAGAGTGCAGACTTGTTCGTGAGCAACAAATTCTGAGATGATGTTCGCAGCGTCAGCCGCTTTTGAGACTTTATCGGGGGAGGTATTCATTGCATTTGATCAAAGATTCACTGTTCAGAGTCATGCGAGACAGGCGTAGACCTCAGTGACCAATACAGAGAGGTGTAAAGGATTCAGCGTGAGTAGATGTTGACGAAGCGGAGTATCCGGAAACGGAAAATCCGGCTGGCGATGGTCTCAATTGGCAGCGTGGAGTCTCCCTATGTTTTGATATCGAGGGAAACTTCAGCTAGAGTCCAATATAGTAATGGTCACGTAAAAGAGCTTTATATCGTCTATCCTCCAGTTGTTGGACATATCATGTAACGAATCCTAAGTTGAAGCTCTCAAAGCACAGCAATACCCATGATGAGCTGAGCCATGGGAGCTTTTAGAATTAGAAAGGCTTGGACAGCGTGGATAGCTTCATTAGCGCCCCGTGTATTCACATGTGTCTCAGAACAGTGTTCATAGAATAAATTGAGAGTTACCTTCTCATTTCTCCGTATTCAGGTCGCCAAAAATACTCCCTTGCACCATCACATCGGGACGTTGCTAGTGAATTTTGGTAATGGAAGAACTGAGAAACTACCTATATGTCACAGTTTTTGCTTGATGGAAATATAGTGGCCAGAGAGGCTCGATGTGGATTTGTTTCACCGCGAAGGGACTTGGACTTGGTCATGCTCATTTCTACTTCAGACCAAGTACCTACCTTATTGATGAGTTCTTTTATCCTGAAAACCGCACATGCTCCCAGAACCTCCCTCCTTTTAGAACACAAAACCTACTAGGTACCTAGATACCTACCTTGAGAATTAGTATCGTTTAGTCGGTTGCGACTGCGAGACATGGAGCAAAACCTGACCAACGATACAGAAACACCAGGAGCATTAGATGACTATAATAGCTTTGCAAGTTCATGAATTAAAAGGGGCCAGACTCCTATTTCCACTGTTGACATCGCTACTCTAACGCTGAAAGCCTCTCCAACTTCTTAAAAAACATTATTGAACTGAGGAAAGAACCACTTACAAGAGTAGACTTCTTGTTATAGTCATGGTTGGTGAATCGTATCCCACAACCTCTCGTTAATAATAATCTGAACTTCTGCATTGCATCGCCAGAAAGAGCACGGCGCGCCCAAATAACAAACGAGCATCTTGAGGTCAAGTTCAGTCGCGTGTTTGCTAGGCATAGATGGAGGCCTCGCAGTGGCAGCCGCTATAGCTGCCACTGCGAGCTCAGGATCTCTGCCAGTGGCATTTGTCACTCCACGCATCGTCTAATAACGGAATAGCAGAACAAGGTACCAAGGTAAACAACAATGTTCCCCCACTTCGGACACATTGATCTTGTCACCTCTCCCCGTACTCCTCTTCGTTTGTTCACCTTTCATCCTCTTGTTCTGGTTATGGGTATCGTGTCAAGAACATCAACACAAACCTTAATTTTCTTCATCTATCACCTATCAGCCACCATATCCCTAAAGAAGCCTCACGCGAGGCAGGCGAACTTAAAATGAATTCTGTCTCCGCCCCTGGAGAGCCTCAGGTGGTGCGCAACGGCCTACAATCGCCTCCTATCAACACCTCGAAAGACATGGCAAGCCGCCTCGCTTCCAAACCACACGATGCCCAATCCAACTATGATGTTATGTCAACTAGATCGAATATGGTATGTATTGTGCAGTGATAATGGCTTTGGCGAAAAGAGACACTGACCCCTCTAAAAGGCGAGCGGAAACCTGATCGATGCAACTGAAGATTTGGCCAACATTGGAGACTATAATGCTTCTTAGGGTTCGTTCACCTCCATGGCTATAGCGATGCCTCGCACAGGAGCTCAACGCTAACATGTACCAATAGTAGGAGTATACAGCCCGTCCTCACAAGGTGCAATCCAAGACTGCATCACTGTGGCTCCCAGTCATCCTAAGACGCATATGGCTCAAGGGAGCTCATCCGCTGCTCTTCGGCGAGACGAAGACGGTCCGAAGTACGATCTCACAACACTTGCGAATCCCATCCGACCAACTAGCGGACCCCATGTCCCGATGTTTAATCTGGAACAGGTTTATGACATCTTCAATGGCATCCCTTGGGGAAATCAACAAAGCGACACAGTGGGGGAGCAGAAGCCCACCGAGAGTCGCCAAAACGACAAAACTGCTCAGTCTAGAGCCTCGAAACAAACAAAGAGAAAGCCTCTTGGACCTCGGGCTGGCTCGGGAGTCTCCAAGACATCCCGTCTGCACAAGCAGCCTGCCACGCAACTCAAGCGATCTAAAAATCTTCAGGGGAAGAACCCAATCGATCTCGTTGCTAGAGGAGCCATCCCAACTCCCAGTAGCCCAAGCGACCCAGCCCCTTACTATGAAGTTGCGCGCGCTCCCAATTTCAGCAGACCTATTCCCGACTTTGACCCAGCCTTGATTTCTAACTGTCCTAAGCCGCTATCGCCTTCAGATATGTTAGATGGAGAAAAATACTTTCTCTATCAGATGGCCACGGCTCGCCATCTAGCCTTCAACGGAGTTTCGGGCCCATACCAGATTGGTCACTGTTTGTGTGATGTCCATAAGGCAACCGGGAATCTAGTCAAGTTTGCACGTGCCTGCACCGCTCCAAATGGCGAAAGATATTGGCGTCATCTCATGACAAATGCGTCTATAAAGGCTCAGGATGGGTCCAGAATGGCAGGCAAGCCAATTGCACTCTCAAACGGAGCCCTGATTTGGATGGCAGATGAGAAGGGCAAGGTTATTGCTCCTGAATGGACATTCAACGAGCCCCAATTCTTGCCCGAATCCTCGGACGATCAAGAAATGGGACAGTATCCGAAGCAATCTCAGCAGGAGACCAACCCAATCCATCCTGGGCTCAAGAATACTAGCAAAGATCCCTTTTGGTGGTGAACGACACGATGTCGTGACCGAGTTGCATGGACGGAGTGAAGAGTCCTGAGAGAATGTTTGTGAACATCCCCGGGAATGGCCACATTCAAGCTTAGGCTCTGCTCGAGTCCCTTCAATCTTTCTATTGATAAGACGAAGTTCATACGGAGTAGGAGTAAAGAACTGTGTTTGGATTGTTTTGACCCGGAGGGTCTTGGTTTATACGTTGATGCATGGCCGGAACTTTGTTGTTAGTTGATCTCTGGAGTTGGACTTACTCGATTTTGAGTTTTGATAAAACTCTGCCTGGTCTTGATGTTAAGTAGCGATTCCTAGAACTGGAAGCAGGAATGTGTTTCTACCAATACTAGGCAATAATAATGCCAATTACCAATGAATAAGTGGTCGTTGTCGAATCAAGTGGCTACCTATGATTGATGATTACGGAAGAATTGCGCACCGACCTCGATAACATCATCGAAAAAGGATGCCCACCCTTACCTAACGTTGGTTTGGACGCCACTTCTGCTCAACACTTCCACGCCAACACGTCGTCTTTGTGTATTATCAACTCTTCTCGTCCTCATTTTTGCCCCTCTATATCCCTGTTAGACAAAATGGGCTCTTCATCTTCGAAAGTCGCCAAAGGCGTAGCGCGAAAGTATCCTGCCCGAGCTCCTGGAGCTACTGTCCCACAAGCAGTAGCACGTCAACCAAGGGCAGAGCCACCAAAACCAAAGTCAAAAACCTTGGGGAACAGCGCCAAAGACGACGGTAGATCAATTGGAACCTACTATATATACTGAAGCATCTAACTCGTATCTGTAGCTGTTCGCGCTGACGCTATGGACCCCGACTTCCCAACCGGCGACTTCTCACGCCGTCTACACCAGATGGGAATCGCTGACTCAAACCCTACATATTCTCCTTCGTCTACAGCCGCGACCGCTCCAGGACCTAGTTTTACACCGAGTCGAAGCAATCCAACCCTCGTAGCGCTCTCAGCTCGAGATCGACTACAAGACGAAGCGGAAGAAGATTTTGCAAACATGGGACGCGAGGGCCGAAGATTCCTCGATATGAGGACTTTAGTGGATGCTATGAAGCTTCGCGATCGAGGCATACCTGGGAAGGAGATTGAGTCAAGATTAAGGATACAACCGGGGCTGCTGAACAAACTTGGACAGGAAAAGACCTTTTCACATGTGACAAGTCCGAACTGAGGGCAAAGTACGAGGGAATAGATGGAAATTCATCACGATATCCGCAAGGAAGGATGTGACAAGTGTATTATGATTGTACAAGACGATATTTCTCGTCGCCCAGGAGTAGCAACAAACGATACCCAGAATGTACCCCCAAGGCCCAGGTTGCTGCGACTGTTTTGCTTTGACTCAGGATCTACCTTGTATAATATGGCTCTACCACGCAGCATGTCCACCATCCATGCGAAGGTCAGCACCTGTCATGAAGCTACTCGCGTCGCTCAAAAGAAAGACAGCAGCACCGCGATACTCTTCTGGAGTGCTTAGACGGCCGAGCATGTTCTCTTTGGGCCACCTTTCGCGACGATCAGGATAATCGTTGAAGAGATTTTGAAGCATCCGGGTCAGAATATAGCCAGGAGAGAGGGTGTTGACACGGATACCGTGTTCTCCCCATTCCATTGCAAGATTACGGGCAAGCTGTACGACTGCAGCTTTGGAAGGGTTATAAACGCTGGCGAAGTTTTAGTAGCTGGACATCAGAATCGGAAATCGTGCTTACGGCGCGAGCATGCCCTTGTTGGCGATGGTTGCGCTCATACTGGCAATCATGACAATACTACCAGGCTTTCTAAGGCGAATCATCTGACGAGCGGCTGCTTGGGCAGTCATGAAAGCCCCAGTGAAGTTGATGCTCATCATTCGTTCGGTTTCTTCCATCGAATAGTCGATTGCTGGTGTTTCGTGGTTGATACCCGCAGCAGCGATGAGTCCATCCATACGATCTGCGCCATTGGCGATGTCCTCGAATATGCGATTGAGACCTGGGACATCTCTGACATCCACTTGATGGTAATGAAGTGAGGTACCAAGCTCACGCCCTCGGTCAGAGACTTGTGAGAAGTTGGACTTCGGATCCTCAACTGGCGAGGGCAGTCTATCAATAGCGTGGACTATCATAGTCAGAATTTAGCAAATGATATATTCTTAATGGCCTCTCTCACCAGTAGCTCCGGCTTCAAGAAGAGCTTCAATCTGAACAAGACCCAAACCTCTTGCGCCTCCCGACACGACAATCACTTTGTCTTTGAGGCTGAACTCTGGTAGTAGATGAGGCTGAACTCTGGTAGTAGATGAGGCTGACTCTGCGCCGTGTTGCGTTGAGAAGGACTGTGGTGAAAGGCACGAATAGCTACTTGAACATCTCTCGTTGTTTGGCGAGGAAAAGCTTGTCTCTGGAGAGACTGGCGAGCCAGTGTTCGAATAATGGGAGAGAAGTTGTTCATTGTGGAAGCTTACGAGATATTCCAGGATAGACTTCGTTCAGTGGTAGCTCGGGTTGCTTTTGTACGAAAGTCAATGCTAGTCTAATACTACGTGCAATAGCCATGAGGGGAGTGCTCAGTACGGATATTTATAGGGTTGTCAGTAGCCGTTCTTCGTCATCTCTACTGCACTACAAAGAGTAAATCACGAGGGATCTTCATGCCCCAGAATGGACAATATCATCAATTCAGACATTCTGGAGGGTGTGTATGAAGAGAATGTGCCTCCGTTTTGCAGAATGAAGTTGACGACAGGTCAAGCTTTTCTACCCCCGGAGCCACTAGGACGTTGTTGATCATCCCGGCAAGGCCCGGGTTTCCTTGCAGAGTTAATCAGGTCCTGACTGAGCAAGGTTCGCCGTCAGCCATTTGACCCCTTACCCCCTTGGCTTACTTCGTACAATTCATCTCCATTTGTATGTGAAGGTTTAGGTGCAAGTGTGATGAGCATATACTCTACCATAAACGTCTCCCTCAGAACATTGGTTGTCCTATGGCTCCAGATAGAAGAAGTCAAAAGAAATACCATTGCTGAGGATGCAAGTCACAGCATTTCGGGTGATGGTTGCGTTGCATGGGGAATCAAGCGGAGTCACCTCCGGATCTGCACCCCGCCCCCAGCTTTTGAGCTCCTCCATTAACAAACTCTCCAGCTGCATCTCAGCTCTTGAACCTAACGTTAATTCGTTTTCCCGCAGTAGTTCCGAATCCGGCATGGGGTAGAATGTTTACTGTGGTGAGGGTGGTGTGTTCATTTGCCAAGACTGCTAAGATCTTTTGAAAGCATTCCCTTGAGAGTCATGACATAGACTGTTGATACATGATGCATCAGCCCTGGCTATTGAATGAATAACAGCCAATCTCAGGCCCTGCACCTTCAAATCGCCTGGATATGTGCTGTTCACGGCCGACCTCTATATGGTACCGGTGCGACACTGCGTCACAAGGTATCGTTGAAAAGAGGTATCCCGGAGAAGAACACCCTCTTGGTTTCGCTTCCTCGGTGTGGATTGCACCGAGGCAGATATCACTACAACGAATTGCCTTGCTCTGAATAGATCTACACAAGGTTTCTTGCTTTGTAACGAACACTTTGGTTTTCTATAATTTACATGGTGGAATTTGGAGGAGTATATCAGCGAATGGGATAGCATGCCCCCGCGTGCTAGTTCTATCAATCAAGACTTGTTCTTATTCACAATGCAAGACAACCCTTTCGGTAATTATAAGACCTTGGGGACAATGCTCGGGACGCCAGCCGGTTGAACTACATTGATTGCCTAATACGGTAACCCGGAATCCTTTTGATACAACTATTAGCATTGTACATCGACTTCGATCGCAAATACCAAGCTTAGACAGAAAGTCTTCAAGCTTCGGGCCTCTTGATTAAAGTAGCGGTCATGCATAGAGGCTACCTGGCCTGGATTTGTCGTACACGTGAGCCACAGAATCCTGCAATAGCCAATCATGACTCCCAAGCGCAGTATCCTAGAGCTCGACCAGTTGATCTGCTTCTGGGTGTATTCCTGAAGAAGCCCAAATTGATACTGAGATTGGCTTCTCCTAAACCTTGCATAAGGTTCACATCCGTGGGCGGCCACCTGTTCTGACACAGACCCAATATTCTGCCTACCGATGCACACCCTGATAATGACTGGGCAATAAGGACCATCTGCGAGTTAATGCACTTTATATTACCAAGAACGGAGGAAATCCGCGGCCTGAGCATGGTAAGCTTTTAAAGCAGGACATGGATGGTCAACGAAGCAAAGGAGTGACTGGCATCTGAATTATCATGGGAACTGCCAACAATCTGAGTTAAATCGAAACCAAGATGATGCATTAACGCCTTTTTCCAAACCTCCAGTCATAGCAGTATGCTTTTATTGAGTCGCCTCGGTTCGCGTGTCCTCTGTGACGACCTCCAATGAGGCCTCCATCAGCCGTTAACAAAATGCTCAAAAACAGAAACATATGAACGAGACAGGCTCTAACCACGCGTATGACCCCCAGAACCGATAGCCTTATGAAGTTGCCTCGTACCAGTCTTATGCTTGTTTCATTTCCACCGTAGATGGGGTTGTTGCCTTCTAAGCACTGTCGATCCACTGGTAAACAGTGACCAACGTGGTGTAGACCATGGCGATGAAGCCAACAACCATGACAACAATGTCAATGACCTTGGCCCTGGTTGTCTGAGCAGCTCCCTTGTAGTGCAAGTACGCTGGGTAGATGTAGACCAAGGGAACACAGGCAAAGCTACCAATCAATGCCACAAACTTATCCAAGTCACTGGCACCAACTATACTAACACCGACGCATACGCCTACAAGAAGGGTTCTGAGAGCATTCTTCTTCCACTTGATTGCAGCACTCTTCTTGCCAGTTGCACGCTCACCAAAAACTGAGGTTTCTATAATACGGGCAGCGGGGAAAAGCTGGACAGGATCTCCGGCGAGAACGGCAATTGAATACAGGAACTGGACTGCGTTGACAAGAGGAGAATCCTGAGGAAAGTTGGAAATGACTTGAATCTTGGTATCCTCACCAAAAGTCGCATAGCAGAGTGCTCCCACAGAGGTAAAGATGATCGTGATGATAAACATGACCAAGTAAAGGAGGTTAGGGAAGTGCTCGGGCCTCTTCATGCTTGACTGGATGGGCAGAATAAGTCCAATTCCTTCAAAAGTGAAGATACCCGAGCCAATGGTCAAAGTGAAATCTCGTGGGTTGAACAGCTTCACAGTCGAGTCCATGCCACGCTGAGAAAGTGCCGCAATGTCGTAGTACCAGATGTACACAATTCCAATCAAAATAAAGACATCAGCGAGAAGGGCGGCGGGTCCAAGTTTTGAGATGTTTCGAATCAGCGCAAGAGGGACAAGGGCTACCAACTGCAAAGCGATCAGACTGGGTACACTGAACATGAACTCGCGGTGGTTGGCGGTCACGGCGTCAAGAAAAGCATAGAGGTTCTCAGCTGTGAAGATGAGGCCAGCGCATACAAATCCAAGCTGGGAGATAGCAATCGAAGCGAGAACCAGACTTCTGAATCGAGGCCCAACAATGGCTTCCCCCAGTTCTCCATAACCGCCTCCGTAAATCTGTCGGCAGTCAAGAAGAAGACGGAAACATCCGCAGTTGACAAGGGACAACACAATGAGGGTGATTGACGAGAACAGGATGCCACCATTGCGGAACGCCTTAGGCAAGAACATGATTCCAGTTCCGATGAAAGCCTTGATGAGGGTGAAAAACGTCTTTGTGGTTGTAGCGTCGCCCGTCTTGCGCATTCGTTTAGAGCTTCGTCTTCTGCCAAGGAGGGGTCGGAGCTCAGGTGGCTGTTCCACATCGCCGTCTTCTCGATCATCAATGGCAGACTCGTCTTCGCTGTCGGCATCTTCGAGATCTTCGCCGGCAAAGCTTCCGTATAGATCGAGGAAATCGACAAAGTTCTTGGCGACAATTGTGTAGCCACTCATGCGTCTCTGCCGGGCGCGTCTCTGAAGATGGTATCGTCTAAAGCCGCCGGGTTCCCGCTGTTCGGAGTGGCTCAATTCGTCTTCGGCAGCGAGGGGAGGAGGTGTATGATGGGAAAAAGTGGCAGCGCGGCGGAGGGAATTGGCTCGGGCCTTGATCTTGAACATGTCGCGATGCATGTCGCCTCCTTGCAAGAGGAGAGAAGATTCGACGGGATCTCCTGAAGTGTCGTTGTTGTCATTGCTGGCAGACCCCGAAGCGGAAGGGTTGGCTGGACCAAAGGCAACGTCGGGCTCGGCGGAGTAGCCATCTGGGAGATGCCTGTCGAGGATGGCAGCTTTTCGCTTGCTCGTCTCGCTGCCCAAGCTACTGGGTGTTCCGTCGAAATTGGCAAACTCAGCCATGATTGTGGATTGTCAAGAGGAGTTTTACAGTCGTGACGTAGCTCCTGCAGAGCTTTATGGTGGTTGCTGCAGCAGGGTGAACAGTAAATGGCAGAAGATTGAGTCTTAAAATAATCAATCACGAGAAGTTTTCAGCTGTGTTAGCCGTCACTGCAAGCGTCAACAGACATCCGCTGGCGATGAGAAAGGAAATTGTATAGTTGCAAGGAAAACATTGAAAACGGCGAACAACCAAGGGCTTCTACATTGGGTCGTTCGGTTGTTGTATGACAATCGGGGTCGGTGAATGTCTCTCCCGGTACGCCTAGCTCCTTGAGGCTTGGGCCAGTGGGGTTGACGATCCACGTGCATGAAGAGAGTGCAAGTACTCGATACTTTTTCAGCCCCATCTTTCAACGACGAATCGCAGATATCTACCTCTACAACCCAAAGTCAAAGTTACTTGGCTCGATCACTTCCATCGAGAGCTTGATGCAACCACCTGAACACCACGCTCGGCATTGAACCTGCCTGATTTGACATCACCGAAACTTCTAGAGATTACCAAGACTGAAGCCTTCAATTACCTTGTCTCTAGGGCGAGGCAATATGCAGCATCAATATTAAGAACGGTAGCAGCATTGTAGCATTCCAAGTTTGCACCAAGCACACAAGTACATATGTGTTTGTTAGCAACATGCTTTCTTTACTGCTGTCTAGTTTGACGTAATCAAGTGCTGCTTTTGCCGTTCATCAAGTAACAGAAATGAACGGATACTGTCAGAATCAGAAGCTTGAGCTCGGTGATAATCGGATGCTCTGAATGGCTTGTGGCAGAACACAAACTTTGAAGAATTTAACAGTTCATCCATCTAGGTCCCTCTGATGTTCTTCTACATTCTTACCTTCAGGGTGAAATGGATCGTACCCACCTAGGAGGCAGTTAACCGAAGATAAGCCGGCACACTCTGGCAAATTCCTCCTCAGGCACGTAGTGCTAAACCCATTACGCTTGACGCGCCTGTCCTTTTGCAGCCCACCAGAAAGCTCATTCATCAACCTCAAATCCGACACTCAAACTCATCGCAATCATTC